TAAGCTAGATTGCCACATCGGTTGTGGTGGCATTACACCAACCGCCTAAGGGAAAAGAAGTTTTACAAGGTGATCAGACTTGTAAAATCTTTTTTTTACGCAGTTTAGTTGATTTCTTTGGAAGAACGAAAGGTGTTATATGAATTTTATTTCCCCTCTTTTATCGTTCGTCCATAGCATTCGGCATTCCATAACATACTAACTAGATTTATATCATATACAATTTGACTAAATCGTAATTAGTAAAAGACCTAATTAAAAAAAATAATAATTTAGTCTTATATTTAAATTTGTTATGGTTTTCAAATGTACATAATATGTAACTATACATTTTAACGTTTAATTTTCAAAGTATTTCAACGATATTTGTTCATCGAAAAATTTTATGTTGTAGTTTTTAAGTAGCCACTTATTTTCTAATTGGTTATTACGTTTTTATTTCTTTTTAAGAAATATACATATCTGGATTCAAAACATTTTTGTTTTTAGTATTTATAATATTGAGCGTATATGACATTTCTATTTAGTGAATGATTTTTATTTTACAATTTTGTATGTTTGTTTGATTGGCGTGAAAATTTAAATAGGGGTCTTCATCTAAAGGGATAAAGGGATAAATTGCTCAAATTTATCAGTTTATCCGCATTCTTTCATGAACGCACCTTGGCAAATAATTGCATAAAACTGTTTATTATTTAACTTATATGGCTAGTTACGTTTCATTTTTAACTCGTCCATTGTGTTCATTTGCTTTTATGTGTTGTAGCAAAAGCGACATATTGGCAACCTGTAAGGGTTGAATTTTGCTGAAATTTATACATTTATCCACCAAGGTCGTTTAATAAAGTAATAAACTTTGGTTAAATAGATTTCCATACAAAGTTTGGCAGTTCATTTATCAAAATGATAAATTTATCACCTTATCAAGTTTATCAAGAGTTTATCACTTTTGATGAAGACCCCTATTATATATTTTTTTTGTTATATCTTTATGGCAAAATATTGGTTGAGGTGAGAGTTTCAATTAACTTTTTGAACTCGGATTTTATGTATCGTCTTTGCTTTATCTTTTCTTCTATCGAAAATAGTATATATGTATATATATTTTCATGATGGATGTGTCTATCTTTTCTTTTCGCAATTCGTGCGGTAAAGTTGATTTTTTGCCGAAAACCAGTTTGAAAGGAGTAAATTAGTTATCAAAAACAGTAGTAGGCGTTGTGTTATGCAAAACGTTGAAATATTTCAAATAAGTGTCCCAGTCAGAAAATGTTTCGCTCAAATATGCCCGTAAATATTCGTTGAAAACTCCGGTTCCGTTAATTGTTCCCACGGTTTCTTGATGGTGTGCTGTTGAAAAATTGTATGTTATCTTTAAAAGTTATGTAAGCTCGGAAAAATTTCATTTTTATACTCAGTTTCTAAGTCAGTCCTAATAGAATTCATTGTGCCGTATATTAATATGAAACTTTCAAAAATAGCTTCAGTTTTGACACTCTTGTCTGGTATCGCGGTAGTTACTAAATATTTTGTGAGATCGCATATCACAGCGCACGGCAGTGCGCACGAGTGACGAAAGCAGCAACAGTAGCATGCTGAAATGACTCGCTTATACAGGGTGTCCCAGAAGTAACGTGCCAAACTTTAGGGGAAGGTAGATGGGGGGGTGAACTCCCTGATAAACAAAAAATTTTCAGGTAAAAGTGTCACCGTTTTTGAAATATTTACTTTTTTTCGAATTTAAAAAAAATCGTGCCTTTTCATGTGTTTTCTTTAACTGCAACTACAAACCGGGCAATACTTAGTAAATTTTTTATGTAAAATACTTCCAGATAGTTGCCTCTCCATACTCAAATGCAATGTAGTTAAAATAAATTAAGGAAGCATCATAAAATGAGGACTATTTCTGGATTTTTAACTTTTTGATATTTTCTTCCCCAACTTTGACTATCTCGGGTGAAAAAAAAATGTACTGAGCTATAACTTTACATTACATAAAAAAACTGCTCATTTCATAAAGATTTCACAAAGGTGCCACACTTACTGTTTTGAATAGAAAAAAAAAAAGTTATAGCCGCTTTTGTGGGTAAAGGACTGAGACACGCTAGAATGTATTTAATAGATTTAAATTGAATTTGCTCTTGTTACCGTCAAATGACATGCTAAATAGTACAAAGGTACA